CTAGAGATGAGAAACATATTTAAGAATATAAATATAAATTTTAGAGATCAAAATATAGAAGACAGAAAAATATAAATGTATATATATTTATTAGATGTATGGGTCTTAAGAAATTGAAGAAAAGTTAAAATGAGAGGTAGAAGGAATAGCTATAGTGATCAATGATAACATTCGTAATAAGTTGTATGTAAGGCAGTGAGTTATAGTTTGCGGTATGAATATCATCAGAAATTAAATGAGCAACAATAACACTAGAGGAGGAGTATAAGGTATATTTGAATGTAAATGAGAGAAAATTGACATATAAAGATATATGTCCAACTCATATATATGATAGATGTAAGGGTGAATTATTAAAATGTTTTTTAATGGGAGTTTGTTTTTTAACTGTAATAGTGTTACATTAATAAAAAGTATAGAAAGAGGGAGATGTGGGAAGAAATGAGAACTGCTAGGCAGTGTTTTGAAGAAGGGAAGTGTGTGTCCTCCAACCCTGACATTAACCCACCCTCCTTTTCACCAGCCATATAACAGCTTGCTAAATACAGGAGTATTTTGGCTCAACCTAGATTTTAAAAAGTAGTACAAAAGGAGTATCCTAGCAGATTGGGAGTCTTTCTGTTTTGGATTGCTTTGGACTCCATTCCTGACATTGAAGCTCTGGGCTGAACCACACCTTTAATAGCAAACTTGTAAATATGTAGATTAAATGATTTTAGAAATAATAATAATGATGATAATGATATTTTTTATTTACTTCTCTCTATGGATTGAGGTGGGGAACAATAACAGATTAAACAAAACACATAAGTTTAAAAAGTATAGAAATCCAATACATATTAAAATCAATCAATAAACACTTTAAAATTCATAATTAAATCCAAAATGTTTTATTAATCAGATGACTATCCTTAATATGCCCTGGGAAAGGTATCTGTTTTTCAGCCAGAGCTAAGCAAAATCTGCACATATATCTGTTACTCAGCTACTGGAATCCAGGCTTCTTTCCCCAAGACTGAGACCTGAATGGGCCCAGGAAAGTAACTTCTCCCTCGTTTTTTCCTCCTTATATGTAGATGTAGCAATCACACCCGAGGGGGACATTTTAATTCATTCCAACCACATCACTTCCCACACTAGACTTATCTGCTTTCCATGTTATCAGATACTAGTCCTGCTTACCTCAATGTAGTCAGAGATTCCCTCAACTCTGCTAACTTAATTTTTTATCCTTTTTCAATGTCACAGCTGCTTTTGACATTATTATGCTGACAGGGTGTGTCATTTCCCAACTGACGCTCATCTACTATTTTATATTAACACTTGTGTCTCCTGTTTAAATATTAAACTGGCTTCTCAACAAGTTTCTCACAGCAAGGACTGACTAAAGTTGTAGCTTGCTTCAGTGATCATTTCCAAATTATGCACTCCTCCTCCCCACCCAAACTTCCTAGGCCACAGTGCTTTTATTCAAGTTCTTAGGTTTCCATTCCATCAACCACTCAGCTTTCTGACTACATTTTCTTCTCATGAATTTAGTTGTATATATTCTCAGCAGTGGGCTGGGGCAGGAAAGATAGGGAAGCGAACCTAGCTTACTACTGCTTAGGTTGCCAAATGTCTTTTAAACCTCTATTGATCTAGCTTTGTATCTGTCAGGAGGCCAGTTGTGATTTGAGCTGCAAGCCTTCTACATTTCAATTATTTTTCAGGGACTGGGGCATGTCCCACCTACTGCTTAGACCTTTTGAGCTACACTTTTAAGACGAGAGCTTAGTGAGCTGTCTCTCTAATTCCAAGGAAACACCTTGTGAGTCATATGGAATCTCTCTTGCCTACAATGTGAGTCATCAGTGAGAGGAGATAGGAAGGGTGGAGGGTGCATTGGCTGCAGGCTCACCCACAGAGTTGAGATTGGAATGGTGCATCTCTCTGTAGACAGCCCCCTTCTCCAAACATGACGAAAAGGACTAGCACTGTGAACAAGGAAGATGCTAGACCAAGGAGAGCTCCCTAAATGACCTCTCAGTGTTCCAAATGATGCAGGGTTCTGTCATTTTCTGAGGGGGGAAAATTATACATGTAATTAAGCCCCTGGTTTTTATGGAGGAGAAAGATCTGCCTACTTGCTGTCTATGTTATGACTTAGGAATCTTCTTTCTATTATCATCTATCCCCTTCCTTAAGACAGTTCTGTTGTTGTTGTGGATTATGCCCCCCTCAGTGTTATTCACAATTGTGCAGGTTTATTCACTTTAGTGAGCAGTGGTAACTCCCATATTAGCATCTATCCTCTCCCTGAATGGGACTTTCTGAAATGAATTATTTCATGACTTAATTTTTTAAGATGTGATTCACATGAATTACAGTGGACCCTTTGTATCAGTGGGCTGAAGATCTGTGGATTTGACAACCCATGGATTGCTATACTCCATGTTATTCAATGGTGGTTGGGTCCACTGTAAGGGTTGTTGCATATACTACACTTGATTAAATAACTTCATGTTTGATTATTTCAGGTGACTGGTTGAACTAACTCCATTGAAAAATCATTGCACTTAAGTTGTCACTGGGTGATACAAAAGCTCTGTCCTTGATCGTTCACTGAGATACAAAGGCCATTGCTTCATGATATTAGAGCAGGGGTAGGCAACCTTTCCCCTTTAAGGGCCGAGGGACTTCAGCTCCCAGAAGCCTCAGCCATGTTGGCCAATAGTCCCATGTTGGCCAATAGCTTCTGGGATTCTGGGAGCTGAAATCCCTCGGCCCTTAAAGAGGAAAGATTGCCTACCCCTGTATTAGAGATTGGTAATCTACTTTTAAGAAGAAAGAATATGATGACATGCTGAATGATGTAGCTGTTGAATAATGAGCAATAATAAATGAACAGCCCCTTAAGGTATGTATCTGCAAATGACAATTGTCACAGCTCAAACTTAGCACTTATCCCAGTGTCCAAATAATACTGCCATTAAATGATTTGACTTATTGTGCTGGTGTAATAATGATGAGACTATGTCATTCTAAGTAATTATTTGCTATCAATGTGAATTCTATGTTTCTCTTCCTTTATGTTACTGCCTCTGGTTTTTGTGTGTGTTTTTAAGTAGTTGCTCATTTACTTATATTTTAATATAATATTCATTTTGATTTTAGTTGTCTTCAGTAGTTCAATTTTAATTTGAAAGGTGGAATGCCAGAATTTCTAATAAATGAATGAATCTTGTTGGAAGATCCTGTAACATTTCCATTCATTCTGAACATTAACAGACCATGGACATGGAAGGAAACACCACGGGCATATGTATGTGATAGACATTATGTAGGTTAGAGATTCATCCTTCTCTCCATGTAGGAATAGTTCCCAGGTTCTTTGGGGGAAACTAACACAAACTGATATCAAGTTACAGTGTAGATATTAATTCAGAATAATAGAAAAACAAAGTGCTTTCCACCAAAGTTACCAAAACCACAATCCATTAAGATTATTTTGAACAATCGGATAGTGAGCAATATGAATGTTGCTGAATTATTTGGAAACAGTGACTGCTCTATTATTAAGTGTAATGAATATGTAAGTGGAAAATTAACATGAAGACCAACAAAATCAAATTTGATTTCAAAAGCTGAAACCCCTGGAACCTGAGGGAACTAGTAATAAAATAGTTGAAAGGGAGCATTACCAAACACTGAGGAGCTATCCAAGAAAAAGCTCAGCAATTATATACTTCAGATTAGTAAAGAAAGCACAAAGTGCAGAAGTCAACTGCATTGTTAACAAGCTTCATGAAGGAAGCTTTCAACTTCCTTGCCCAAATGAGGAGAGCATAAAGGAACACATTTATTGGAGATAGGAAATGCAAGAAGACAACAATAAGGAATACAAAATAAAAATGAAGAATTATTTAACATTAGGAGCAACTGGACTATTAGATTACAATGGAATTAAAGGAGTACCGAAAAGAGACAAATAGATTTCAGGTAAGCTAAATTAATTATTTTTATCTTTCTATCTGTAGAAGATCTGAGGCACTTATCGATGTTGGAACTGATATTTTCATGAAGGAAATCCTGTTATAAGCAGGCAAACCTTTCATTCTCACATGTAAAAAACAATAATTTCTATAGCATACCCGCCCCCCCAAACACTGTGGGAGAATATTTCTGTACATTTTCACTCCACATTCACACATTTCAAAGTGTGAATCAAAGTGCATCAAAATGTTCCAGGAAATTATTCAGTGCATAAATGCATGTGGGATTCTTTTTTATGCAAAATGTTGCTTCATGCAAATATATATATATATATATATATATATATATATATATATATATATATATATATATATATATATATATATGCAAAAAAACCCCAAAACAAAACCAAATGCATTTTGCACAAAATAATTCCACAAACCTCTTCAGAATATGAAAATATTGGACAAAAAGCTATGTTATATTTTTTGCCTTTGTACGATTCTTCCCAATGAGGTTTCTTGCATATCAGAAGACCCTTTTCCTCCCCCAGGAAATGAATAACAGTGAGTGTTTGGAGTGCATATCTGCTATGGGGCTAGGAACCTACAGGTTCACCAAAGTGCTCAAGGATTGCGCTATTTGCAAACATTTCTTTAAAAAATATTTTTTCATGTCAAAGTTGCATCAAATTGGTTTCACACACACACACACACACACACACACACACTCAATTAAAATTAGCTTAAATTAATTATGTGTTAAATATCATTAAATTCACTAAAATTTCCCTTACTATTATTAAGAAATAACCCACATACATGATTAATTATTGAATTTATAATTACATATCAATGAATTATTGATGTGCTTAAGTTCACTTTAATTAGTGTGATATTTACTAATATTGACTATGACTATTGCATCTGAAATAAAAACAATTCCTAAATTTACTATGATATTGACTATGGTATTAACCTTAGTGCATTTATGTTTCTTCCCCATTGACATTAGGACATTTGGAAGCCAGTGTGGTGTAGTGGTTTGAGCATTGGACTGTGAGTCTGAAGACCTTGGTTTGAATCCTGGCTCAGTCATGGAAACCCACTGTGTGACCTTGTGAAAGTCACACTCTCGCAGGGACTGTACAGGCTGGCATAAAGAGCCAGCCTGGGGGCAGAGTAGAGGTATGACAACCTCACACTGGCCACCCCAACTTCTTGTCCAGGCTGATGTCATACAGCCCAAGCAACCGCACAGCAGGTGGCAAAAGGGCATGTATTTGGTGCAGTGTTCAGATGCGCTGCACAGTGGTGGCAGGCAGGGTGCCCTTTCCATGGCACAAAAATCAAGCAATGGCAAGTCCCCTCTGAACAAATCTTGCCAAGAAAACCTAATGATAGGTTTGCTGTAGGGTCATCATAAGTTAGAAATGACTTGAAGGCATACAATAACAACAACATAGAGCATCTAGTGGTTTTCCAGAAATCACAGGGGTGTCAGGATGGCATTGGTGTGAGGCTGGGGTAGCCAGCGTGCAGCTGCCCCACCCCAATTCTACCTCTAGGCTGGCCCTTTGGGCCGGTCTGCAGAAGCCCTAAGACTGTTGCTAAAAATTCCACTTTGGGTTTCAGTCCAGGAAGGGATGAAAAGTAGATCACTTTTAAAGATATCAGATATCAATCTTTTTATTACAGCCATTCAGCAAGTATAACTTTTAAAGATTTAGGGCCTTTGCATACTGCCAGAAATAGTGCAAATTGAGTCCACTTTAAGGGTTAGGGTTAGGGTTGGGGAATCATGGGAACTGTATTTTATTGTGGCACCAGAGCTCTCTGACAGAGAACGCTCAGTGTCTCAGGGGGAAAAAAACCAATTCCTATGACTCCCTAGCACTAACCCTAACCCTTAAAGTGGACTCAATTTGCACTATTTCTCAGTTAAGCTGGAGGATATAAGGCTAGATTTGTGTTTGAGGAGGAGTTGGCCAGAGAGGGATCTGACTTTCACAAGTATCTTTATGAGCAGTTATTGGAATGATTTAAAATAGATAAAATTTTGAGTGGGGTTTATAAAGAAAAAAACCCCTCTTGGTTTCAATGGAATTTAGGTACTGATGAAAAGCATTTGATTAGGAAAATGCATAAGATGTTAATGAAGATGAAACTGGAAGATGAGCAGGTAAACAACTGTATAGTTAAATGGACACAGTATTTGGGCTATAATATTAAGTTGGAGCACTGGGAGAAAATGTAGACAATTGGCTTGAAAGAATTATCATCCTATAATATGAGAGTAATTTTTATAAGATTTTATCAATTGTATCTGTCATCAGAAAGATTGTCCAAAATATAAAAGGACTCAAAAACAAATATTGGAAAGGTAGTGTACATGAAGGTACCTTTTTCATTATGTGTGGTTTTGTGATAAAGCAAAAACCAGAGACAAATGCAAATGTTAATACAATCTATTTGTAAATGTAGAATTGAATTAAGACTGGAGTTGTTTTTGTTGGGCACATTAAAGGAGAAATGGAAAGGTATAAATTACAAAGTGCTGCATTATATGTTTATAGCAGCAAGATTGTTATTTGCTCAAAAGTGAAAAATGGACAGCATTCCTACAGAAGAGGAGTGGACTATTAAACTTCTTGAACTGATTGAGATGGACAAATTGGTGATGTTAATCAAAGAAAAACCTTTAAAAAAGGAATGGGAACTATTTTTGTTTTATTGGAAGAAGAAAGAAGTGAAGAATATAGTTGAGGAAATAGAAGATTAAAACAATTTTAATTATTTAGGTGAGAAGTAATATAAAAATAAGATAGTATTATTGAGAAATCATAGATACTGAGTGTTAGTATTTTCAGGCTTGGATGCTGGAAAGTCAAGTCTAGTTTGTGTTAGCTGTTTAGTGGTTGCGTGTTTATTGTGTTTATTGTTTTAATTTTATATAAGAGTAGGGCTGGGGGGCTGGGGAGTAATGTAGATTAGTATGATTTAGGGTATGTTTTTAGTTTAGTTTAGTGTACAATTTTGTTATGCATGTAACTTAATGATTGTTTAATTATTATATTTTATGTTTTAAAATTGAATATATTTTTAAGGAAAGCCAGTGGCTATCCTTGGACACATCACATTTTCTCAATCTAAGAGGAAGACAATTACAAAACTCCACAGAACACTCTTGCCAAGAAAACCCTGCTATAGACTCCATAACCTGGTGTGGACAAGAATGTTTACTCATGCTGAATGGTGGAAGATTCAAGAGAGTTAAAAAGAAGTGCTTCTTCACACAGTACATAGTCACACTATGGAAATCATCAGGAGAAGATACAGTGATGGGCATTAACTTGGGCCATATCTGCACAGGTCAAATAACATGCCCTCTCCCCTCATCCCCATGGTGATCAGTCAAGATTACATAGGGCCAAATCCCTGATTCTGTTGTGAACCTTCACAATGAGGTACAGCCAGTTCAGCACTGAACCTGAATTATATTATTTCAAAAACACTTTAAAAAACCTTGCTCTGAATCATCCCAGAAAATTTGGAGTACTAAGGAATTATGCCAGGTAGCTGTTTGCATTTGTGTCTCACTGTACTTCCTGTCACCACCACTGCCACTTCTGCCAGTATGAATTGCTCCCTCTAAGGTCAGAATGAGGGGCCCAGGGAGCAAGTTTTTTTCCTGAATTATTTGCTGCCACATGTAAGTGCATTATTTTTTACTGTCCATCAAAAATGTGCACGTATGGATTTCTGCTTCCATTGTCATGTATTTCCACTTCACAGACACACAAGCAGTTATGTTTCCTGGTGGGAAGTGATAATGCGATGGTATGTCCCACCCACCGGTCCTTCCTCTGCCAAAAATGTGCAGACATATTAGGGCATGTGAAGTAGATGGTCATACATTTGATAATGCACATCCTCATGAATACTCTGAGAAAAACTGTAATCCCTTTTCTGCCCAGTTTATGGACCAGTTTTCTTCCCCCAGCCTGAATTCCCTCCTAATCACAAGTTGCCAGATTGCAGTCTATTTGAATTGAATGAGGAGTATTTTAATCATGTAGACAAGTGTCCAGATGTCACTGAAGCCATGGTGGGCTTGATGCAGAATTTGGTGGGTCATATGTTGTCACAAACTTGCCCTTATTTCTTGTATCCATAAAGTGCACAATGCTGTACATTCAATATTAATGCAACTGCATTCTATACATAGAAGTCAGCATTGCTTTTCTGCTGAGCTGGAATTAATTTGGAAGTCTGTTCTGCTGCTCTATGTAAGGCAACACATTTGGCTTCACTGTGCTGATTTAGTAAGCAGTCTAATTTGCTCATGATTGACATTGCTGCCTTCTGCTTTCAGGAGCATCATCTGACTTAAGCAGGACATGAACAGCAACAACAACAACAACAAGGAAAAACTGAGCTAAGAAAATGATTCTACCTTGAATGATAATGCCACAGAAATGTGTCTCTTGATATGTGTAGTTTGGCGACAGCACCAACAAAATGTAGAACAAGATTTCTGAAACTGATGCCAGCTTGCAAAATCTTGATAAGTCATTAAATAAAGTGAACACATACATGTACATAGCCACACTAATAACACTAATACCAATGTCCACATTAAAACTATAGGGGGTTCCTTTTTCTTTTTTTCTGTTTGGAGGGGGTATTGCTTCCTTTTCAATAGTCCTAGTAGGCATATTTTGCTCTTCTCTTCCCTTTCTTTCTAAAATTTGTCTTTTCCCTGGCTTTTTCAAAATGCACTCATTGAACCCCTGGCAATTAGTGTAATTGAAATTTATTGACAATGTGGCAGTCTTCTAAAGCTTCATTGTTCTGAGTGCTTAGCTCACAGGACCATTGAAGAGTGCCGTGGCAGTGTCAGACGGTGCATAGCTTGCTCAATTATATCAATGGACCAGTGACTGCCAAAGGTTCCTTTGGGGGTATGAATGTTACTTAGTGATAAGAGCCTCTAGAAACAGAATCCCTCGGCCCCATCTCTAGTGGGAGATGGAAATGAAATATGTATTTCTCTGCTGTGGAAAATTAATGTAATTGGCTCCCTTAAAAAGCTCTGACAACTTGACCTGTTTGAAATCTGAGGAAGGCTTATGCTGCAGTATCACATTATCTTCAACATAAACCCCCTACTCTGATGAAGAAAAAGGAAAAGATAAATGGAATTTGGATAGTAATATTAAACTTTAGTGCCATGGACCACATCAGTACATGCCTCCATCCCCACCCCCCACACGTATTGACCACATCTAGCTTCTGAATGAATTCTTAAAGAAATCCTAGCCTTTATTTTTTTTCTTCTTTTCTTTTTTTTCTTCTATGTCTTTTTTGTATTGTGAGTTGTCATGTGTTTTAATGTGTTATTGTTGTATACTGTTTTTAATTCAATAAAGTATATATTGAATTAAATATATACTTTATATATATATCCTAGCCTTTCACATTACTGTCTGTCCTTTTGTTTTCTTGAGAATGGGACAATAGGAAAAGAACGTGTTTGGGAATAAGATCTCAGCTCTTCATTCTTTCTTCTATGAAGTGGCTGCAGTGTACCCCTTTCTCAAAACCACTTGTTCATGAGATATCCCATTAATTTCAAGGGCATATAGGTGTTCAAGAGGGGATTTAGCTGCTGTACACTTCCTACACTTTTCTCTGGAAATACCTGCATAAATATGGCAAACATATGTACCATTATGAAGTGTGAATTGGGTTCTTGGAGGGGGGAGGGAGATAAATCTAGATTTTCATATCCATAAGCAGTGCTGTAGACATTATACCATACTATCAGTGTCTTCTTAAACAGCAGAGTCAGAGTTCTGGGATAGTTTCTGCTCTCTCCTCCACCACTGGGCTGCAAGAAGGGCAGCAACTGTTCCTTGCCTTATGGTACTACTTGTGATTTACATGTAGTCACTGCTGATGGAAGGAGCAGAACCTCCCCACACCACCACTGAATTTGCCCACACCTTGATTTAAAGGAGAATTGCTCTCTTGAAACCTCCAAGAAACCTTATTCTCTTTTGAAACAAGGCACATGGCTGCCACATGCCTGGCTT